TTTATATTTTTTTTTTTTTTTTTTTTTTTTGACTTCCCAAGCGCAGGTCAAATATATCCAATTAGCTAGTGGAATTCACATGGTGATAACACATTTCTGAATTTGGTTATGTACTTTCATTCTTTATGTCAAGTTTATGATGTAGCATGCTTGGGCCTAGCATAGTAGTAGCAAGTGTTCAATTGTTTTCCTTAGATCTGTTTAGGTATTATCATTTCTACATTCTTGTAATTATGCAATGTTCAAAAAGTGTTTTCCGTAGATCTGTTTAGGTATTATCACTTCTACGTTCTTGTAATTATGTAATGTTCAAAAAGTATTTTAAGGTTACTCTTACCCGTGCCTTTACACCCATTTCCACTTAGATTCCTGAATTTTAAAACTCATACTTCACCACTCTTAACTTTAAATTAGTGTTATTTAAACCACTGTTAAAATTCTTATTTAAAACAAAAAAACAAAAAAAGAAAAAAAGGTGACCACACGTGAGTCACTAGGGGATGGTAAACACATCATTTTAATAATCCTAATAAAGGTTTCTCTTTATGAGCAGAAAAATCATAAATTTTAGGGATTAGGTAGTTGAAAATCACAAACTATTTGGCTATAGAATCCGACCCAAATCAGATATTTAGTAAAGGGAGAATTTTTAAAAGCGGAGGGAAAAGATTAAAATTAAACAGTATAAGAACACAGGTAAACTCGGGACCACCCCAAGCATTACCTTAGACCCTTACTTCGAATGGTCCCTTATAATCCACGGAAACACCCAATAGAGTAGCTCAAAAACTTACTCATGTAATCCCTTACTGATGCGCTTTATTAGTCCCTTACTAATATTGCATCAATGCTTAAGATTATTTGGTTCAAAGATTTGGATCGGCCCCAAACACGACCTCGATCTCGACCCGTCTCGACTTCAGTTCAGGATTACATTTAATTATTTATTGTCGTTTTAACCTTATTTATTTTTAGAGAAATGAGATAAACACGTGCATGAGTCTAAATTTTTATCTTTTATTTTAAATTAATATACTTTTTAATTAAATAATTATATTAATTAAAAGGATATTGATTAAGAGTAAAAAGTAAAAATTTATACTCATACACTCTAAAAGTAAATTTAACAAATTAAACGGCCAACACCGAAAAAAAAGGAAAAAAAAGCATCGATAAACAAGCATTATCCCAGTTGAATGGATCTAACGATAGACAACATGACGTATAGAACAAAGACAAAGGCTTAGTTTGGTAGGAATTTTAGGAGCTCAAAATAGATTATCTAACCAGCAAAAACTATTTTTTTTGTGTTTGGGAGCTCAAAATAGATTATCTAACCAGCAAAAACTATTTTTTTGTGTTTGGTAAAAATATAAAAAAGGGCTTCTGAAAGAATTTAAGGAGAATTTGAAGCTAAAATCAGGAGCAGTTCAAATTTTACATTGTGCGGGAATCTAAAAGGCCTCTTTAATGAAATTTTCGTTATTACAACTTTACCCCTGCTGAATGAAAACAATTCCAGACCCAAAAAAATTGTGCTCTTCGCGGTCCTTTTCCTCTCCTCTTCCTCTACGATCTCCCCCGCCGCTTCAACGTCAACATGCTCAACCGCTGGAGGTCCGGCCAGATGCCGGTCACTGCCCAAACGTGGCCGCCCTGGCCGAAGAACTCCGGCCTTAAGCGGCAACATAGCGTCGAGTACTGGATGATGGGCTCGCTTCTGTACGACGGCGATGGGAGAGAGGTCGTTAGGGTTTCGGATCCGTAAATGGCTGAAGCCTTTTTCTTGCCGTTCTTCTCCTCTGTCACAGTCTAGTTCATTTGGGTGGAATTTGGTAGTCGGTGATATTTTGTTCATTTGAGGTTGCTGGAGTTTGTCTTTTTGCTTTTTTTGTTTGGAATTGTTCGGGACCAATTCAGATCTCGAAGCCATGTCGCGGGAGAGACCTAAGAGAGGCGTACTACCCCCAGCTCAAGAGGTACTACGCCCCTAAACTAACTAATTCCTTTCTCTATGTTTGGTTGCCGGGAAAACAAATTGGCAACTTGGTCTCCATAAAGACTCGCTTTGTGTTTGTTTTCTGGGTTTTAAAATACAACAGTTTTTTTTTTTTTCTCCTCCAAATTTTGATGGCTATTACTTTGTTTCTGAATTTGGTTTTTGTGGGAAGTAGATTGAGATTGCGAAAAAAGGTGGAATTTTTGTGTTGTTGCTTGTTACTATAATTTTTAGTACAAAAATTGAAGAAGTAGAAAGAAAGTAATTCCTTATTGTTGTGTTCTTAATGCCAATTTCTTTACTTTCCATACATTTGCTTGGTTACAGAGGAATGTAGCCTCAATTTTGCATTTTCAGATAAAAAAAAATGATGATTAATTCAATCGCATATATCTATGTTGATAATGATTACCGATTTTTCGTCAAAAATAACGATTACCAGTTTCAATGGTGCACCGTGATTTTGCATTTCATTGCGGAATATTGAGAAGTTAAAGAAAGTTGTTGAAGAGGGTAATTATTATGGAGCCCAACAAATGTATAAATCTATAAGTGCAAGGTATGAACATTGTTTTAAGTTTATGGAGATATGCATACACTGGGACATTTATACATCATTGTAGAAATTATTTGTTGTTTACTTTCTGATGAACTTTCTGGGTTCATAATATCTATCCCTCGGCTGGGAGAACTTAATTATTACGAATTTCATGTATGAATATCGAATGCGGATGCTGTCCTTTTCGACATTGTTGATAATGATTAACTTCTAGCAGAAACCCGCTTGTTATCGATTCATGTATGTCTCACTGATGAAGAATGCATGCTTTATTGCAAATATGTCTCTGCTCAGAGGTATATGGAAGCTTTGGATATACTTCATTCAGGTGCCTGCATTCAATTGGAACATGGGCAGGTAAATGCTCTTATGTTACTGGTTATACACTTGAGCCATGATATCTTGCCTGTCGTTGAGTTTTCATTTTTATATGGTGATATGTTGTGAGTTCAAAGGAACTGGGATGGAATGGGATAGGGCTTAACATGTGATAATTTTTCAATACCCGGGCTTTAACTTAAGCTGAATCTTCTACCTTCCGGGAACACTATTTCCAAGATCACCAAGGTTACTATTTGAATTTTCCTTACTTTTTCACTATAGCCATATTTGCATGAGAACGTAAGTTTCTTTATGAAATTGTGACAGGTATGTGCCCACTTCCCTTTGTAAATCTTGCTACGGCATTAATTATGAAGTAGTGACATGACATATGAACTTGCACACAGAAGTTTCGGAGGTTCGTGTTTCAACTGCGGGAGATCTGGACACAGGGCATCGGAATGCCCCGACAAGATAGGTTTTTAAGACAAATAAGCGCCATAAAAAGGGGTGCTCTGACCTTTGAAATTCCAGGTTGTGCAGCTCAATGACTCAAGAGATGCTCCTCCATACAGTTATAGGAGTTAAATTTGAACTGAAATATTCTCTTCTAGCTTCCTATATATGTTTTCTTTGACATTTAATTTTAAAATCGATTGCTCATTTTGATGTAATATTTAGTTAGAGCTAAGGTTTCTTGAGAATACTGGTTTGGTGTTTGGCATTTTCAGCATATCTACGTCTATTTGACAGGCATATCTACGTCTATTCTCAGCATATCTACGTCTCTTCTAGCTTCCTATATTCGAGAGAAATGAAGAAGAAGAAGAGAATGTGGCTTAAGTTTGAACATGGGCTAGGATCCTCCACTTAGATTTCCATTTCTCATTTCTTTTTAGTGCGGTTTTCTTGTTGTATTGATGGTTGAGACATTGTTATTCTCTTTTAGTTTGGTCTTCTTGTTGTATTCATGTTGGAGACATTGGTGTTTTCTTTTAGTGTGGTTTTATTGCTTTATGTTTAAGACATTATTCTACAATGACATTTCGTATTACGAGATTAAATTATGACAAGTTTAATGAACACGACTTAATTCTTTTAATGACTATGTCAGTTTTTTGAATATGAAATGTACTTTTTTGTTCAACAAATTGATTATTCATAAATGCTCTTTTTAGTTGTAACTATATTGTGTTTATTGTTAAAAAACTCAAAATCATAACATTATGTTTTTTTTAAGTTAAATAAATATTTCTAAATATCAAAAATAATTAATATACTTAAGTTTCATATCATGTTTATTTTAGTCATTTTACATACTCACAGTAATTCAACATTAAAATTTACCAAATGTTATTATACTAATTTTAGAATCAGCACAGCTATTATAATTATAATTTATTAAACACTCAGCTGCTTCTTGTAACAGCTGTTTCTTCCTTTAACATAGTTAAAAACAATTTTTTTAAAAGTTTCTCACAGAAAATTTAAAATCGAAACAATGGAGGATAATTGGAATGACAAGGAGAAGAATAAATACTGTCGTCAAGCATCTCCTGTGAATACCATAAAGGCCTCTGCTTATCTCTTGGGTGTCACGTGATGCGTCAGGAGCAACAACTCATATCCTTTTTTGTTTTTTGTTTTTTTTTTAATGAATCCATAACCAACCTTTCTATCGTCGTTTGTGAATTATTTTTGTCGTTTTCGTTTTGCTAACTTTTCTCAAGGTACGTTTCTTGTCACGTCGACTGATGTCTTGTATAACTTAAAGATAGTAACTTCTTCAAAATTCAGAATTTCCGCATAAATTCCTAAGTCAAAATAATGCAAACGTTGCTCAAGAGTCAAGTGTACCAAGTCAGTCTTTAGGGATCCTCCCTCCATATCGCTTGGGCAATATTTGATTTCCCTAGACGTAATTTCATAACGTTTTTCATAAAGGGTCTAGTATACATTTCGTGTACAATGATCCCTAGACGTAAATTTCATAAAGTTTTTTTTATAAAGGGTCTAGTATATATTTCACATACAATAATCCTAGAAATACATTTCACATACAATAATCCCTAGACGTAAATTTCTTAAAGTATTTCATAAAGGGTCTAGTATACATTTCACGTACAATAATCCCTAGACGTAAATTTCATAACATTTTTCATAAAGGGTCTAGTATACATTTCACGTGCAATAATTAACTATTAGTTTTTGGGCTAGTTCAATGGAAGAACTAAAGAAGCAAGCTTAATAGAACTCAGACTTACATCTGATTTTAGTGATCCAATTGGTGTCTAATTAATTAAATTATGCCACGTCGTATAAAAAGTTCAAACAACTTTTTAACTAATTTTTTTGTGCTTATTATATGATGATTTGATTGATTAGACACCAATTAAGACACTTGTGTTTGGTAAGGGGATTCATACCCTGATTCGAATCATAGTTCATGGTTCGCTACAGTGTTTTCTCTCACAAAAAATACACGTAAATAAAAAATAATTCTAATCTCATGATTCTAATCCATGAACCAAACGTCTTCTTAAAATTAGATAGAGGATCTAAGTTCAGTTTAACAACATCAAAATGGGCTAACTTTGATTCTATCAACATATTCTAGGAGTATGATCTTACCTTTGAGAGGACTTAGGGAAAGTATTCCAATTCGTATTTGAGGGACGTGCTTTGACAAAAATTGAGGACGAAGCTTCCCCGAATAAACAATATTAGCATTTTTTTTTTTTAAAATAAGACTATTTCTTCCACATGATTTGATGTCATGGTAGACGAGGTTTGGCAATGGCCATTAGGGGTGAGAGAAAGATCTAATATTCAAAGTTCCTCTGCTTTTTCTCTGTAGTCTATAATTTTTGTTCTTAGCACTATAAGAGCACATTTTGTCAAAACTGATATTCCTTCATCATACTTGGAATCTTTGACTGACTCACATTCCTTGAGAACTTGTAGTATATAGCACTGTTTTGGTAAGGAAAAATCACAACAACATACTGAATGATAAATAAATTAATAAATATTATATTGTTTCTCATTCTTGTTCAACTTCTCTGGCTTTACAAGTCACAAGCTCTATATCATATTTTCCAAGAATTTACCACTTCTATGACACATAAATAGGAATCTTTGTATACAGTATTCTTCTAACCAATCTCTCTTTAGTCACACCTTAAAATGGATCCAAAGATGTTGGAGGCAATTAGCAGCAACGACGTACGGACATTCCTTGGCTTGGTTGGAGAAAATGAAGGAATTCTTGAGCAGAAAACAGCTTGCTTGAATACTGTTTTACATTTGGCTTCAAAGTTTGGACACATTGACATAGTCTTGGAGATCACAAAGCTGTGTCCTGAAATGGTTGCTGCCGAGAACGAGGAATCGGAGACCCCAGTTCACGAAGCTTGTCGCCAAGGGAATCCAAATGTTTTGAGGCTGCTGTTAGAGGCTAATCCCAGGGCAGCTTTCAAGCTCAACTCTTATAAACAGTCTGGACTTTTCTTGGCTTCCAGTCTTGGACATCTCGACTCGTTGACTTTCCTTATGAAACAGCCCGGGATTCTTGATTTTGAGGAAGTTGTTGGCCTTGATCACACTCTCATCCATGTGGCTGCATCAAGAGGACACACAGGTAGATTTGGATTAGAGTAGTTTGTCCTATATTTTGGATTGTTTTTCTTAAGTTTTAGCTTTCTATGATCTATAATATAAGAGTTGTTTGTGCAGATGTTGTTAGGGAGATACTAAACATGAGTCCACATATGGCTCAAAAGGTTGACGAGAAAGGAAACTCGAGTTTGCATTACGCTTGTAATGAAGGGCACATAGAGATAACTTGGATGCTTCTGAGGCGTGATCCGAATCTTGCACTGCAATACAACCACAATGGTTACTCACCGTTGCATTTGGCTGCAATACATGGCGAAGTTACTGTCCTTGAAGAATTTGCGCGAAAATCTCCCGCTGCTTTTCATTACCTTACCAAAGAGGAAGAGTCAGTGTTTCACTTGGCTGTGAGATATGGCAAATTTCAAGCCTTGGTTTTCTTGGTGCACTTCTCTAAGGCCACAAATCTCCTTCACTGTCAAGACCGATATGGTAACACCGCCTTGCATCTTGCGGTTACAGGGGGGCGGAATCAGGTGAGGAACGAAACGGATTATAATATTTTAGTATATGGATTTCTCTACGTTAGAATTCTTCTATAAGTTTATTTTAGTAGTACATATAAGAACTCTCAAGTTACTTTTTTATTTTGTGGTTGTTTTAGATTGCTAAGTTCTTGGTCAACGAAACAAAGGTGGAGGTCAATACTCGGAATTCTAAAGGTCAAACAGCGCTTGATCTTCTTGATCACACTAAGGACAGCGCAGAAACTCGACACCTTGAGACTGTTTTTGCAAGAGCTGGAGGAGAAAGGAGCACAGAAGTCATAACTTGTTCGCCGGAGGCATTATCTTCAACGCTAAGTTACATATTCGAATCGGATATATCCATGAATGAGAATGCTTTGTCCTCAATGCCTGCAGAGATAGCTTATCTTCAGCAAGGGAACCAAAGAAAGTCTAAAGTGTCATCACCCCAGAACCAAGTTCAAGAGAAAATCACCAACGAAATGTACAAACAGGAGTCCTTTTCTCCAATGGCCAATTTCCAACATCACAGGACTACTCGCAGCAAAAGACACACAGCGGAATCATCAAGAGAACGTTGCAATACTCGCTTAGAGAAGCATCACATGATTCACAGTGAGGGAATACAAAACGCTAGGAACACTATCATACTAGTCGCCGTTTTGATCGCCACGGTAACCTTTGCTGCTGGGATGACCCCACCAGGCGGCATCTACCAGGAAGGGCCAATGAAAGGGAAGTCAATGTTGGGCACAACAAAGGCTTTCAAAGTCTTTGCAATAAGCAACAATGTGGCATTGTTCACGTCTCTCTCAATAGTCGTTGTTCTTGTCAGCATCATACCCTTTCGAAGAAAGCCGCAGATGAGATTGTTGGTTGTTGCTCACAAGGCCATGTGGGTGGCTGTGGCGTTCATGGCAACAGGCTATATTGCAGCCACATGGGTGGTGACGCCTCGTGGCCAGGGCTCGGAATTCCTGCTTGTGGCTCTTCTGGCTGTGAGTGGTGCAACTTTGGGCATAATTTTTATTGGTCTAATTGTGCTGCTGGTTGAGCACTGGCTCAGGAAATCGAAGTGGAGAAAGTTGATGGGGAGATGGGGTGTTGCAGATGATGAAATGGGAAGCCAAAATTCTGATGTTGAGAGCTCCTACCAACAAGGATATCACTCATATTGATCAATAATGATTTAGACACTTCTATTTAGGACCTGTTACGGATTCACTAGCTTACAACTTGTCAGCAAATATGTGATTATCTCATGTTTCATTACTTTGAATTACTTTAAATTGGTTTTTCTCTTTTATTTGCAACATAATCAATCTTTTTATGCCCTGTATTCAACTCTATAAACTGCTTTTTTTAATTAAAGCACATATGACAAATTCCTTGTCGTACGAGGCCCTCAAGTACTGGCCACACCAATTTCATACCCTCAACAGTTACTTCTAGAGTATCAATATAACGCGTTGTTCGACAAGAAAAGGACTCCAAACACACCGTCATGACAAAAGAGAAGACTTTGACTTCGTCCTTGACTGACTACATTATATTTTACGAAGTCGTTTTCATCCTTGCTGTATTAGATATGATTTTAAGAAATGGTATGGCAAGGTTCAAAAATAAAAAATAAAAAAGTCCCAAGCTAATTTTGCCTTTCCCAGTTGAAAAAAAATTGCAGCACAGAAATACAGACCATTCATTCTGATGCAAATTTAACATTTTTTGCCAAAAATAAAAATTTACTAAGAATAAGGATATGACTGAAATATAGAAGGTAGAACAACTTTTATATAGTTTAATGCGCAAGAGTGGATAACCTTAGGAAGGATATAATTAATTTGGATCAACGTGGGATACGTAAAGATTGTTATTTTTAAGAGCAATGATTTTCTAGTATTGTTAAGGTCTTCATATCAAGCAAAAACTTGGAGAAAAAATTGTAGAGGGAGAAAAGTATTAAGATTATCATGGTTGAAAGGTGAAAGAGGCAAGCAGCTAATTGGATTATATGACCAAGCTAAGAGAGTTGGTTGAATGTTCAATCTCCATAAGTAACTTTGGAAAGTTATAGCAACAAGGCCAACCAAATGGACCATGACGCGAGGAATGTTTCTTTGTTTTCCAATATCGCATAAATTTTTTTTTTTAATTTTATTTAAGAACTTTAGACTACGGTTTGTGACTTCAAAAGCAGACCACAGTGAGGAGAATATAAATTTGACTAATGCAATATAGAATCTTAACCTTTGTTTAATAGCATTTTTTTTTTGTTACTTGGACTTGGATATTATAATTAGGTCCCACGTTATGCTGACTAAACCAAGATAAATGAACAAGCATTGAAACAAATAAGAATTACAACATCAGTGAATATCCTAACTTATGTAACTGAAATAAGCCCAACAATGTTCAATACTGAATGAATGTCAAATGAAAACAAGGAACAGAAGATTCCAACATCCGGAATCCGACTCAAAACGGACTACCAAAACAAAACCAATAAACAATGTGACCATAATTAATAAGTACTGCAATGGTTCAAATCATACTAAGGTCGCAACAGTAGAAACAAGAAGAGCCATAACAAGTGAGCTACTAGTGACCGTGGACACCGCGTCTCCCGAGCTCTGCGCGGGCGAAGGAGACGCTGCTGCGTCGGGTGGAGCAGCAGTGGAATGCGGAGACCTCGGGGACAGAACATCGACGATCATTCGCTGGCCCCTTTTGCAGTGGTCGGAAGTTCCACTGATGAAATAGAAGAGGCCAGGCCTGTCAAGTTTGACAGTGCTGTTGCCGTTGTTGAAGGCAATGATTGGCTTGCTTGTGTCGCAGTGGTAGTAGCCCCATTTCTCCACCACAAGAACCGAGTCATTGTTGTACTCAAAAACTGTAAACATACATAGAAGATGACCAAAAAATGAGACAATTTAGTGAAAATGCATTTATTTTTCACAATTTATGAAACTTAGTAAATGGCAAGAAACAACATGTTAGTTTATTACTTACCAAGAGAATCTCCAATTTGGAAACGATGCTTTGCAGCCCACTGATTGTACAAGGTGACGTTGTTGATGTCAGGCTCCAACCAGCCCAAATTATCGCCTACTTTGAAGTCTCTAGAACCTTCGAGTAGTGGAGCATTCATGAAGAGGAAGAAGACCATCATCAAAGTGTTGAAGAGAGCCATGGATTTAGAAGTCATGTTTCTGTTGATGATCTTTATCTTTCTACTTTTATCTTCAAAATGGTTTTAGAAATGGAGTTTGCTGAAGATTGTGGTAGATTACTAATGCGACCTCGGAAGAGACAATATATTTGATTTTGGTGAATATATATACACACACATGTGTATATGAATTGTGTAGGATTTGAGATCGTGGGGTGGCCATGAGAAACGTGGTGGGATGTGGCGGTTATTTCTCGAATACGTCGTTTGTGAGCACGTGTCTGTTGTTTGCTTTTAACAGGTTTTTTGTTTTTTTTTGTTTTTTTTTTTAAAGAACAGAAAGAGAACGTGTTGTTGTGGTGACGTTAATCATGCTTCTAAACAGGACCCATATCATCCGAGAATTCTGGATTACTGAAGATAATCATCACCAGGGAACATTAAAAAAAAAAAAAAAAAAAAAAAAAAAAAAAAAAAAAAAGAGGACAAATTAATTACTAGCAAGATTTAACGAGGTAAAAAGTAAAAACAATATATTAATATGGGCAGGCGAGACATCCTTCAGCTTGCACGTCCATATTTGGCATTATGCATATGGACCAGCCCTTTAAAAGGAGTTTTGAAAATCCAATTAAGAAAAAACAGGAAGAAAAAGAAAAGGCCATGCAAGCTTTTATTTTTTTTATTTTTTTTCTAAAGGGAATATTTCAATCGAATTCTATGACCACTATGTTCAGGTGGCCAAAGAAACCAAGCGAAAGATACATAATCCTTTCATCTTTTTGTATAAAAAGTGAACAATATACATCACACGAGTATAAGACTCGGTTCAGAAAACTATGTTAATTAAAGGATAAAGAATGAAACGGTGTCAAAATTCAAAACTGTGATTCAAATTCATGTCGTTTTCCAAGCCGCCTAGGCTGCAAAATAAAAAGACAGGACCCCGCCAAAATGCCCAACGAACCCAAGCTGCCAATGGACCAAGAGCCTTAAAATACAAGCATTTGCTCATATATTGCTTCCTGAAGCTATTTTATTTTGGTTCATCATCAGATCTTGGAACTGTTTACGTTTTTCTACCCGGAGATCAAGTACACTAGGTGGCATAGGTTGGAAGCAACCATGCAACTCTACTCGGCGCAAGAAATCTTGCTTAGACAAACTTTTCTTTTCGACAAGTTCATCAACCACCGCATCCATGAGCTTCCGGTTTTGGTGCAGGATCTGATATGGAAGACAATGATAAGTGAGTCCCAGTATAGTAAAAAGATAGATAGATCACCATGAAATGAATCTTTGCATTACCTCCTTGGCACGTTCATAACACATGTTAACAATCCGCAATGCCTCTGAATCAAGGTACTGAAAAATTTTAAGTTTTGCATAAGTATCGCCACCCCAGAGTTCAACCATAATATTTTGTCTATAAAAAGAGACGAGTTCTTTTGGATTAGGGAAATGAAATGGCATAAAGACATTCAATTACATTGATTCGGTCAGCGGCCCAAAAGTTGGACAATCCATGATACTTGTCAGAGAGGCCACCAAGAACAAAAGTCCGTGCAGCTGATCGTGCATTGTCTGCCGTTTCAGCCCATATTGTACTCAACTGAAATATGGAACCCATTAAGAAAATTTTGACCTCATCAGCTTAGAGTAACAACTCCAGCAAGCTAAACTAATTATACTCTGCTTACAAAGGAAAAGGAAATCTTGGAATACAAGGCCCGTTGAAACATCAAGCTTTTCTTTTCTGTTCTATCTCAAGTGAAATAAAAGGTTAAAGATTTTCGTACCTGATCCTCACCAAACCAAATTTCATCAGCTGCACGTGGTGCTAGCTGAACGGTGATGTGATCCAGGAGGGATTGTCGACTGCCATGAATTAGAAAACAGATAAAAGAAACGTGAAAAGATAGATAAGGAAAGGTTTTGCATGCAATTTCATGGGTTAATAATGGTCGTGTCAAAATTAGCAACGGTGAGTAGAGAAAGAACGAGCAATACAAAGGAAAACCCATACGTAAGCATTCCTTCATTGAATTTGATTGGATCCATTTTCATCCGAACATAACCTAATTCCCTGCCAGCTCTAGGAGCAATAGTGACCTGCAATTAGATTGATAAATGGTTACCATTCTATGCTTATGAGAAGGACACGTCTGAGAGATCAGCAGCCAAATTCAGAAGATTACTTTCAAAAATAATAAACGAATTAAAACAGGCATATTGAAAGTCAATCCATAAAAGGTTTAGGATCATACAAACTCAATATTTTTAAGATCAGGGAAGTTCGCAGCTACAACAGCCATTGCTGCTTCATTAATAGCTACTTTCTTCCAAGTCTCAAAACTCCTCTCTTTTCTGTCTAGCATTCCCCTTTCTTCCATTTGAGCAGCTTGCAATAGATCGTCAGTAGTGATCTGCAATTGTCCAAAACAATTCTTTGCTGAGAGCAGTATTAAGAACATCAAATAGGCGATTATCAAATAGCAGGTCTAACTTAACAGCACTTAAATATTCAATCCTAGGACTATCAAACCTTATAAACAACTCATTCCGTAAGCACCGAATTCTAAGGGAAACTTAAAAGAGATGTCCTTGCTATGTAATTGTCAATGTTCAGCAGCCTAACTTAGAGATGTAAAGTTTTAAAACAAAAAAAACAAAAAAAAAAACAAAAATTAACACTTCTTTTGTTAATAATGGAAGGTCCAATTCTACGTAAGGAATTACCTCAGTCCTCCCATCACGAATCATGTTGATAGCAGCAACCTCAACAATGTTGGCGAGCTCTGCACCAACCATTCCATCAGTCATGCTAGCAACAGCCATATAGTCCACATCCTCAGCCATGGGCTTCTTACGAGCATGGACCTATAACCAGGAAATGAAAACCAAATGAATATAAAAGCTGGTAGTGAAATCTATAAGAATCTCAGGAGAGAGTGCAAACCGGCAATCTTGAAATATTATAAATGTAATAATCAGGACTTGGATGTACAAATTAGGAAATGTTTCTAACCTTCAAAATTTCAATGCGACCTATAAGGCCAGGCTTAGGGATAAATATTTTCCGATCAAACCTTCCAGGTCTTACAAGTGCTGGATCTAGAATATCTGGTCTGTTTGTGGAAGCAATAGTGATCACTTCCCCTCTTCCTTCAAACCCATCCAAGGATACAAGAAGCTGAAGTACGGACACAATAACTGATATCACTTCGCACAAACATTTGGACCTTAAAAGAACAAAAGCAGTATGAGACCATCCAAAAGCACGGTAATTAAATATGTGCCGCGAACCTGATTAAGAGTAGCATCACGTTCTTGTCCACCAGAACCCTTGATCAAACCACGCTCTCTCCCAACGGCATCCAACTCATCGATGAACACAACCGACGGAGCCTATCACAAAACGAACATTAATAATGTTACATTATATTCAAAATGCAAGCTAAAGATCTTATTAAAGATGCACATTATAAAGGTATCTTTGCTTGCATAGAAAACTAATCTAATAACAACACATACATTTTCCTTTGCTTCTTGGTAAAGTGCTCGTACACGTGAAGCACCAACACCAACATATATTTCGACAAACTGAGAGGCAGAGATGGAGAAAAAGTTGACCCCTGCCTCACCAGCCACAGCTTTCGCAAGCAAAGTCTTGCCCACTCCAGGAGGACCACAAAGTAGGATACCACCTAAATTAGCAAAACCAAATACCACATTGCCGTGATTAAGCACATCACTAAGCTCTAAGATTTCAATCATTACAAACAAGGGACAAAGCTAATAAGACTAAGCAAGTCCTCAATTATGAATTGCCATTACTAACCAGGAATTCTAACACCCCTCCGGCGATACATCTCGCCATGAGTGAAAAACTTGACGATTTCCTCGAGCTCGAGCCGGATTTTCCCGAGCCCTGCAACATCCTCAAATTTGACATCCACGCCCCTCTCCAAGTATTGGGGTAGTCTCCGATTCTGAGCTCGCCGTACACGAGCGCCGGACTTCATGAACTGCGCTGCCATCTTCATGTAAGGATTGTCCTCGCCGCCTTTCCCTTGCTCAAGCTCATCACCGTCCTCACCCTGAAGCCCCTCCATTTCTCTCTCTAACTCCCTCATCTTCTTCCTCTCCTCTGCTTCCGCCTTCTCAATCTTCAACCTGTCCTCGTAATCCTTCTTCTGCTTCCTGTAGTTCAGCACCACCGTTCTGTAGAAAAGGTAAAAGAACAAAAGCCCTAGCGCCGTCGCCACGTTCTGATCCTGCGCCAAGTTCGCCCAGAAATTGGCCATGTCCCGCTCATTGTCGCGCGCCTCGCGCAACGACTCATCGTACTTCTTCTTCCTCGCCTCCCGCCTCAATCTCCTCTCCTCCTCTTTCTTCTGAACTTTCATGGCCTTGTCGATAATCTCCCGCTCATTCCTCATTCTCTCCAGCTCCTCCTTCCTATGCCTCTTGAACTCCTCCCTCGCCCGCCTCAGCTCCGCTGCCTTCTTCGACTCCTTCTTCGGCTTAGTGAACGACAACATGAACTCCGGCAATCGCCTCAAAAACCCTAGGTAAGGTGGTGGCAACTCCGGCTTCTTCATCGGAGGCGTATAAGCGTTGATACATACCGAATCGATGCTCAATCTCTCCCAATCCTCCCAAAACCTCTTATCGCTCTCCATCGACGGCAGCATCGCTCGCAAGACTCTAGAATCTTCCAGAACAACCAACACAGGTTCCGCTCGCTGTCTCAAATCGACACCGGGAGGCTTAATCACATGCTTAAGCTTACCTTCCTCTTTCAATTCCAACACATCTGTGTACGGTACACGGTTCGAGACGAGAGGGAGTCCCTGGGACCAGGATTTGAGCTCCTGAGGCGACAAGGCTTCGGCTTTTTTGGCCGCCGTCTTCTTGGCGCCGCGCTTCCGCTCCTTGACGGCGGCGAGGGCGGCTTTGGGTTGGGGAAGAGAGGCGGAGATTACTGTCAGCGTCACGGAGAGCTTGAGGAAATCGAATTGGGATTTTCTCCTTGTTTGGTCATCTTCGGCGCCGTCGCGACCGGCGTTCGGAGTCGGGAATTGGGAGGTGATGATCGAGGGGCGAATGTGGGGTTTGGTTGAGCGGCGAGAGGTTTTGGGTGTGGAGTTTGGGAATGGGGATGAGGGTAGGAATGAGGAGGAAGAAGAAGAGCCGAAACGGCACTGGCAAGCCATGGAAATGGAGGTTTTCTGATTGTGTAGAAAGGCGCTACATTTCCTCTATGAAACGAAGATGAGCGAGTTTGAGCAGGCTGCCCAGTAGTACTCACTCCCTCTCACTCACTGGAGCTCCTCCATGGTCGCTTGTTCCTGTGCTCTGTGAATTGTGAAATCTTCGAGATAGAGTCTGGGAGCCGCCCGGCGACGTTTTTAATTAAGTTGGAATTTTTGCACCATTATCCCTTGAACTTCTTGTTTATTGGGAATGTGTTTGCTGAATTTATAATTTTACAATTGCTCCCTTAAATCTAAAAATATGTTGCAAACACACTTTAATCAATGACGGAATTTTTTGTGAAAGTTGATATGTTACTTGCAAACGGGATCGTTCCTTAAGGGCATGAGTGGTTTTCCCACTTGATAAGATCTAATGAAAACATCACACGTAAATCAATAGGAAAGAACTGATTTTTAAAAGTAAATATGATTTTTTAGTTCTTGATTCTAAGTCGCTAAACGACATGCCGTTGGTATTTTGGAGTTGTGCTTTCCAAGTAGAAAGAACGTCATTTCCATTTTTCCATGAATCCCTTTGCGGTCGTATTCTTGCAATGAACGCTAAACGACATCTAATTTTCTTGTTATTAACACCCCCTTAACCCAACTTTTTTTCTTGAAAATCAACCCCTAGAACTTTTATTTTTTGACACTTTTAGTTCTTGTTGCTCAAATTCATTAAAATTTTAGTAATTTTTTGTGCCAAACTTACAAGTGACAACCTAAAAAGCGCATTGATGATATTTTTGTTTGGTATTATTAAAATTTCATGTTAAAATTTAAATTAAAATTTAAGTTATAATTAAATTAAGCTCAAGTTTTTAAATATATTTGTATTGAAAATAAACAAAAATGAACATCAATGCCCTTATTAGGCTATTATTTGCAAAGTTAGGTGCAAAAAAGGGTCAAGATTTTAACAAATTTAAGCAACAAGGATTGAAAGTGTCAACAATTATAACTTTGTGGTGTTGATTGCCAAAAAAAAAAAAGTTTACGAACTAAATTACCAAATATAAAAATGTCCAGAGGGTGTTCTATAAAATAGCCTAAATTATGTTCCGCTTGTCCTATTTTTCGTAAAAGTGAGCTGGGCAATTGCTAAATTGTTTTGTTTACTTAAGACTTGTTATTTTCATAACTCAAATCATAACTTAAATAGTATTTTTTCTCACAAAATTCAAATCCAACCATTTTGCTACATTATTTTATCTCACATAAAAAATTTAAATTGTGATTTGAATTATAAAAGAACACACCCTTAGTCAAGAAAATGACATGTGTCTAATATAGTTTCAAGTTGTAAAAAAAAATGCAATTATGCAACAATCCCCCTCAATTTATGATATACCAATCTTATTGGAATTTAAATAATTAACAAAACACGAAGAAGGAAACAAGAAAATGAAAGTAATTGACATAAGACATTCTTCTAAACTAAGGGAGGTCGTCAGCCAAAGAGGCATTCATTCCCATGACAAAACAATGTAGTGTGAACTAGAGATACTGATCTTTACAAAAGCGACTGATTCAGAGACATGATTTGATCAGCTGAAACTAATAAGAGACGTGGATCAGTTTTTCTAGGGATCATATTCTTCTATATAAGATGCGCAACAGCATGAATATCACCAAGTACGTACGTCGAGACAGAAACAGGGGTGTTTTTTTTCCCCTCTTCTTTTAATTGATTATTAGTTTTTAGTTCTTGGAGAGCCAGATGACATCCTGAACAGCAGAAATGGCGAGCAACAAGCAGCTGAAGAAAGCGAAGGCGATGGAGATGGCGACATGGTCGCAGAAGATGTGAAGAGGTTTGCAGAAGTTTGGAAGCGCCGTGTGTTTGATTCCTGTGCGGTTCAGGTTGCTCACTCCTGATGCTGCTGACCCAGCACTCATCATTGCATATGCAAACACCTGAAAATTAGTACTCCCAAATGTACTATCAGATCAACACGCATAGCTAAGAGCAAAAATGAAACATATAGATATATATAAACATAATAATCGAGTATGTTCACAAGGGACCTTTACTATTATATTAATATTTATTATAAGTAAAAGCTTTTGTTTTTGCAGGCATATCTTGACGGTAATTTCACATGAATCTACCTTAAGACGTAGAGTTTAAAATTCAAGTTCCTCACACCAAGTTGGGAATGCTGATATCAGGATCAAGACAATCCCCTGTCAATGTTACAACCATTATGATCCTACCAAATTTGATAGCGTCGATGAAGTCCCTCGGATTTTCTCTCTACTGGTGCTTGGGGAGGAAAATTTCTCGTTGAATATCAAATAACATTTTGCTAATGTAACAACTCCTTAGTTTACTATCCAGAATATAGGTGGATTGAAAATGATGAGAAACATGGACGACAAAAGTAGCTGGTATGTTTAACAAATGTCATTACATATAGACCCTTTAATGTAACATCACATAATAGATAAGCAAAGTACCATATATTGCTGCAAGAATAGATAATTAAGCAAAATATAAATCTTCAAATAGAAGTCACAAAGAAGGACTGAAGTACCTGATCAGCAGCGAAAATGAGCCACGCATGATTTCTGGAGGGAACAATATTTGAAGACCTTCTCAGCAGCCGCGATGTGCTTATCAGGAATTGCAGCAACGAGTGAGCTGCCACAGCTGCCGAAACTCCAACCAGATACCTATCTCATCACCACAATTCATCATTATTCATTAACTTTTTTTTTCACTTGTACTCATCAAAATCACTCTTCTAATGAAGTTCGTTCTTATGTGTCAAAAACACGCAGAGGCGGAACCAGAAACATTAGTCAAGGGGGGTGAGGGCGCGACTGAGCTAATGGGATGTAGAATTTTAGGGTGTTAAATTCAAATTTCAAAATTTCATAAGAAATAAAAAAAGGGTTCAGATGAGGCAGCCGCTCACCCTCGTCCGTGGGTGGCTTAGCCCCTGAAAACACATCAATCTAACTGTGCACCTTTTTTTTTTTTTTTTGTAACTACCAAACTTGAAGGCACACATATTAAATGACTCACACCCTAATGCAGCACAAAAGACACCTCCCCACTTAAAATCAATGTTTTTGTTTGTTCTGATGGAAAAAAAGGGTCTAATTTAAAGAGGTGAAAAGAAAAGCAAGTAATTTGGAAAGTTAATTATACAGAGCCTTTCAATATCATTGTTCAATTCAACTGAAAAACAAAAGGTTTCCATCAAGGAAGTGGAAGACAAACGGTAACATATCATGTTACTCAAATAGTTATAAAAGCCTACAAAAAGTGACAAAAGTAAGATGGGAATAGAATAATCTTTAAAAAAAAATGTCACGCGTCTGATTCTTTTCATCCGAATGCCATCAAACTAGAAAGAATGTCAGCCAAATTTACTAAATAGAAGGGCAATTCCGTCAAGATAACTAAACAATTAACTTTCGTAACATGACAAACTAACTAAGAAGACAAGACCCCCTTTTTTCCGGTCATTTTTCCGTGAAAACCACTAAACAAACAAAACCAAAATCTGCAAAAATGCGAAATAGGCCTGATTGGCGAATACGGCACCCCTGCTTGGTTAGTAAGAAAAAGAGAAAAGAAAACCAAGGAAAATTTCCTGCCAAGAGAAAAGATCAACAAACCAAAAGCAAAAACTCAAACTCATCGACAACCCCATTTAATATTTTACAGAACCCAACGCAAAAATTTCTTACCAAAACAAGATATCAATAGGAACGATGAGCTCTAAAACTACAAAAGCAAAATCATTACTGCCAAATGAAGAAGAAAATGAGGGCATTGGAGTAATTTCAAAGAAAAGGGAGTGTTAGTTTTCCTTTGTTGGGCTTACTCGAAGGAATCAGAGAAGGACCACTTGGAATAAACAGCGAGAGGAAAGCCATAGATGGAGACAGTGCTAGCCTCCCTGGCTGTCACCATGAAAACCAGCGCCGTCACCGATGTGGCCATGCACAACAGCCTCAGCGCCACCTGCGCCACGTCAGCTTTCCGGAGGACCAAACCAACTTTCCGATGATCACCGTCCACTTCCATAGCCAGGGGCCCACCCGTGGCGCCATTCTCCGTCTCCGACGACGACGTCGTTTTTCGGCCACTCACCATTTTTATGTGTTATTATTATTATTTTTTTTTTTTTTTTGAAGAGTTCTCAAGTTTTTTGGGAGAGAGTGATGATGGTCTTTGCGTGGGTTTTGTTTGTTTGTTTGGATAGTTGTGAGACTTGTGAGGAAGTACGTGTGATCAGTGAAGGGGCTTAAAAAGACTCTGAATTCTCATGTCCCCTCCGGTTACCTATTCTCCGGTTCTTAAATTGTACTTATCAATTAACTTTAATAAATAAACAAATAACACACACAAAGACAAAAGAGGAACTAGATCAAAGTATATCTTATGTTGTGTTCGGTATTAAAAGAGGAACACACCCTAAGAACACATTTTAGACAATGTTTTTTATATTGTATTATAACGTAAAATATTGTAAAAGGCTTGAAACTAGAATAACCCTACCCCATTGAATAACCATAAAACAAGATTGTGTTAAACGATAAAGAAATGCAATAGGAGAGTAATGGGATTTAAAAAGAAAAAGTAAAGGATTAGAAATGAGGATTATGGAGTTCATTTCTAATATTTACTTATTTATTACATGTTGGGGTCCGGTAGATTTAATGGGTAGGACGTGTACAAAGTATACACGTGTAAGTACCAGATTCGGTGGTGTCGATACTGACGCGGACGAAAGACGCGGCGTTCACAGAGGAACTTGTACAGTAGGACCTCTAACAAAGAAGAAGGGATCGGTTAAGCCCAAAGTAAGCCGAAGAAATCAGATTATAGGACCCACTTTGCTGCCAAGTCTCTGAGGCACCTGATTATGCGCATGGGAAGATGTTGATCTCAGTCATGGAGATCGCGAGGATGAAGTATGGTGGGAGTAGTAACCGAACGGTTGATGAAAATTTGACTCGGAGAGTGTGGATAAGGTTGTTTTAGAAGAGGAATGCTCCAAGGACAAGCACGGGTTGCCTCCGGAGTGGCTGTCTGACTCGCAAAGTGCAGATAGGGTTGCTTTAGAGGAAGAATGCTCTGAAGACAAGCACGGGTTGCCTCCAGAGCAGTTGTCAGACTCGCAAAGTACGGATAAGGCTATTTCAAAGGGGTGCTCGGAGAACAAACACAAGTTGCCTCCGAGAATGTGTATCAGCAGATGAAGTTTATGGTTTTCTTGAAGTATGCTCCGGGACGGTAGAGTCTAACCACGGAGGTGGATTTTTGGACCTTTGGAGAAACCTCAAAAACTTCAAATGTAGCTTGTAGGCGAGTTTGGATAGATCAAATGAAGTGTTTTGAGATTTTTAGAGTGAAATTTCTATGAAGGACTTCAAACGCTAAGAGCACTAGTTTGAAGAACAACTCTCAGAGTGATGAACACAAGTTATAATCTCTTAGAAAGAATGTGTATCAAAAAGGGTCTTATAAGTGTAATGTATGTCAAAAAGAGTCTCAAAAGTGTAATGTTTATCCCCTGAAATGAAGAAGCTAAGAGGTATTTATAGGAGAAGGTTTATGAGTCTTGAGTGGTTGCTCCAGAGCCATACAGTCACGCATTGCCAGAGGTCTGTATGAACCATTTTCCTTCAGAGCACCTGCATCAGGTGACTTTCCTCTTTGAAAAACAAATTGGCCAAAATGGTTGTATTTGGAGACGATATCCGAAAATCTTGCTGGCATTAGACCTTCCCCAGGTTTGGAGATCATGAAGTGTTTGACTAAATTTAGTGCTCCGTGGACGCTTCTACTCTCGGAGATTTGAACAAACGTCAGATCAGCTTCAGAACGTCGCTTTTTGATTTTGGCTAAACAATTGTCGCTAGAGCACCTGACACATTCAATTTCCATAGAGCACGGGAAGACCCTTCGGACATAAGAGAGTCTCTCAGAGCATACGGGTATCTTTGGTCACAGAGAAGTGTCTTGGATAATGGGAAGTATCTTCATGGTGGCATTTATGGTGATGCCTCCGTGGGGGCGTCCACAGTGACACTTTCAAAGCAACAACTATCACATAGATGAATCCTTGCCAGTTCAGGAGGAAGATACTCTGGAGCATAAAAACCTCTCATCTGGCGTTAGAAGGAAAGGTTTCACAACTTAAATTCTGAACTTTCAAGTCTCCAAAGGCTGAGAAAAAGGTTTTTAAGACTCTTAAAAGGCAAACAACGAATTTTGGGGTTAAATTCTCCATAATCCATTCATTCATTAGCCCAATTATTTTAAAACCCCCAAGCGGGACTTAAAATTGAATCAGACTAAGAAACAAATGGAATCGTTACCCATGGCCCACCAAACTAAGGTCCACGCGAGGTCCCTGATAATGGCTTGGGTCCACAAATCGAGCCCAATCTCATCACGGGATGCACTATTGGGCCTAGATCCTTATATGGACATGATACACAAACGGTTATCAACATCATATAATTTAGTGGAAAACAAATCAATTCTTTCTTTTTTTTTTTTTTTAGGGAATTCAATTCTTTTTATAATGTTACTAAATTTAGGAATAGTAAACTTCTTAATAATTATTTTTTTACACAGTTAAATAACCATTGACTTATAAAATTACTAAGTAAATTTGACATTCTTATATTATGCCTTATTTGTGGCGGTATTTATTTAAAAAAATAAAAAATTTGACATTCACTTCTTTTAATCAAGAACCAATCTTAATGAAGTGGATATTTTTTTTCCTCGTTCTCCATATTATATGGACAATGAGTATGCTAAACTCTCATTCATTATTAATTTTGTATGGAAGCATATACAATTAGATGGAAAATAAAATCACTCATCATTTTCCATTATTCTTTTGTGCAAAGTAAATGCACCCTACTATCAAAATCTCAGTTTCGATTCAATTATGAATCATTTTGTATTATGAACAATTTTTATTTCAGCACTATAACGCAAGTATATGGAAGTCAAGCTAGCATATAGATATAGAATTGCTAAAGGTGCTAAATTTGTTTATTAGAGGATTTTAAATGACTCGACGTATCTAGTAATGATATTCATTCGGTCATAGTTCCTATTAAATAAATTTTTACGCTCTAATTCCGTCCTTAACATAAAAGTCAAAAAAATCCTAAAGTCTCGACCATTTGTCTTCAAGGAACATCTTAGTTTAACACAAAATACGACTTATCCAAGCTATTTTAATGTCCTAAACTAACAAGAAATTAGTTGAATGTAGTGAATCTTCCAAGTCCATTTTACCCCAAAAACCTTAAAATATTACAATAAAATCATCTCTTTTTAATTCCATTTGTTCGTCGATATTATATGCTTCATTAAATTCCTAATTACAAGCCACCAATCAGATATTAGATGTTTCACGATAAAGGGTTGGATGTAAACATCTTAGAGATGAGTGGAAATATAATATTAGTGCCCCAAGATTATTGCCCGTGAGTTCACAGTGCAGTGGAATTGGTGCTTTGTTTTTTTGGTTTCTAGATCAGACAATTCTGAGAAACATCAATGTAGCCAAGATTATATTAATTATTGTTGTTACTTATGGGGAAAATCCACTAGCCAATATCAATGGAGTAAGAAAAATAAATTAGAGGTGCAGAAATTATTAAAATTTTATCTATAACAAAACTTAGGCTAGGCTATTATAAGATGCGGTAATCTAAGAATTTAAGAAATTTAAAGAAATAAATTTCAAATTTATGAAATTTCTTATATAAAACTCAAAAAAAAAAAAAAAAAAAAAAAAAAAAACAGGGGGAAAAACTCAGGTGGACCAACTGCCTGCTCTCTCGATAGATGGCTCCACCACCGTTTGCAGCTTAGCTTTGGGCTTGTAAGATTGAAAATGCCTTGCAACTAATCAGTTTTGGAAATATATTTTTGGTAAGATAATTTCTTGGTTTTTATATAGCTTTTTGATCCCTTCGAGTCTCCCTTTGTAACAAACATTTGGCTACATTTCCAATCATTGCAGACCAACAATAAAGGCTTCTGAGAAGAATAAATAATGGTCAAATGCTTAGCTAAGACATCAAACATCAAAATTTTTGAGTCTGACATGGCACACTCTAAAGGCACTATATGTATATGTATGTATGTGTGTGTGTGTGTATATATATATATATATACGCAGGAAGAAATTGGTGTCAGTGACCAATGAAGAAGCATGCTTCATTTATGCGCTTTTGATCACTCTCATTCTCATTTCCCGTGCCAGATGCTTCACATGTAGCATTTTGACTAGTCTAGTTAGAAGACGAAAGCTCCCTTGTTTATCACAATTCAAAGGTCATTTTCACTTCCCAACTCTTGATTTTAAAGTCGCGTTTATTTTATTAATTCGAGTTTAAAATTCGAATTTTGTTATAATAAAAAGTTCTCATAAACAGTCACATATAACTTTTTTACTACAATAAAAAAACTCACATAAAATTACATCTCAACTCGAATTAACGAACTAAACGGGCCCTAAAAACTTTAGTTTCGTAAGTCATTGAGGGAAAGAAAGACCAATAAATGAAATAAAACTGTCATGTAATGTGAAAAAAGTTATGAACACAGGGAGGAAGGGACAATGGAGATTATTAATAAATAAAAATATTCGAACATCGAGTTATGATAATTGTTTCAATTGTTAGTAAATGAATTTTTTGGATACTTTTATTATTACAGAAATAGATAAAAGGGAAAAATGATTGTGCCATGAAGACTGGTAGGCCATTGCACCGACTTGGCCGTTTCAACTATGAATTTGTTGGAAACTTGCTTGGAAATGAAATAAATATGTAGCATTGAAGTATAATAATACAGTTCAAGACGCACCGTAAATCCAAAATACATTCATAAAGCATTGATAACTTGGAATTATAGTTGATTATCAAAGAAAGAAAGAAAAAAAAAAATCCAACTCTCGTTTTCTTTTGTGATTGCAATTTCAGTTCCGTACAACAATAATATCGCATTCTGTAGATGACACGCATCTTTACCAATTGCTCTTACATTGGTAACCAAATGATATCATACAAAATCACTCAATCCACGTTTTATCATAGAACGCCCTTGGAGGGAAATAAGACGAAAATGAAAACTAAAGCTCGCTCGATAGGAATCGGGACTCGGTGAGTTACTAAATTCTCTGCTGTGAAATCAAATAGCCGGAGCAACTATAATTGCTTGGCACACAAAGCATATGAAATTTTGGTAAAGTAGAGCAGCTAAACTCCAAACATCAAGTCCATGATTTTGGACGCCAGTGATTTTGTTGGAGAAGCAATCGCACCTCCGGACTGCCGCACATTGGCATTACCGTTTTGGAGATAGTATGGACGAGAAGGGCCTCCCACTGCATTCAGTTCCCCAGTTTTGGCGGATGGAGGGGGCGGTAAAGTCATGAATCCCTGATTGTTGAGCCTATCGTTCAAAGCCTGACGTTGCATTGGATCCAACGGCTTCACACCTACTATTAGTATCCCATTAATTTGCATCCCGTTCTTGCTGAGAGCCTTCAGCACATCAGATCGATTCTACATAGGAAGCAAAGTAGTCGTTGAAAAACTTACCGTCAAAAAGAGGTGTGAGGAAGACTTAGGTTACAACCATATAAATAGTTTATATTTTCATGCTGTTAAGTCTTTAAGCAGATCAACTTTGATATATTTCAAGCAAAGCATGGGAAAGAAGAAAAACCTGATATAAAATGTGCATCCAGTTAGCCTCTCTAGGACCAGGAACATGTTTCAAAATCACACCACACTTTTCAAACTCCCTTAGAACCAAGTTTGTATCGGCTGGAGAAAATCTGGCAAGAAAATATATGATTAGTATTAACAAGTTTCAAGGAAAAAAAAAAAAGAACACACGCACACTCACGCACATTTCTATAATCTAGTAGTTGATTAGTAAAGGCAAAGCAAAACTGCAAAAGTTTCCAAAACATGAAAACCAACAACAATGAAACAATAAATTCCAATAATGACTTCTATAAAACCTGTTCACAATAGGCTGAGATATGCAACCAACTATTTAACAAGATGAGCACCAAGCGAAAAGTGATTATATAGAATGATAAATGCAATCAACAGTAGACAAAAGCCAAAACTCAAATAATTTGAATCCACAAAGCTGAGGCCAAAAGAATACCCATAAACAGTAACCCATTCTTCTTCATTGAGGTTTCCTGTAGGCAAGGCATTCCTCTGCATCTCAGGCCTTGCAACTTCCCTAGGAGGTGGAAGGGTGATCAAAGCACCAGGCTGGACAACACCTTCAACAGGCGAACTATTTCCCTTTTCGTCTTGCTCACTACTGCTTTTTGAGGGCGACCACCAATTAAAACCTGAGGAACCTTGTTGATTTTGCTGCGCACTCATCATAGCACTAGATGTGCTTGCCTCGGATTTGCTTTTTACTGGGGTCAAGAAGTCACGACCAGAACTTTGGACTGGAGATCTGGGATCTGATCTGGCTTCTGGGGAAACAGGGTAATCTGGAATTCCAGATTCAGGAGAAAAGTCTGAGCGATCTTCCAAGGTGAAAACTGGGGGAGGCGGAAGATCTGAGCCGCTGAAATTCTCACGCCATAGAGCAGACACCGCAGCTGCCTGCCCTGGAGTTGAAAATTTTCCTCTCCTGGCCGAAATAGGCGAAGCCAGATCTTGGAAAAACAAAGATTGCCTCCCAGATTTGGGAGTTCTATGTACTGTGGTGCTCATCCTATCACTTTCAGAGGAAAAAGAGTCTGTAAAATGAACCCGAAACATTAAGCCCTCTTTTCGTTTATCCTCAAAATACAGAGAACTAAAGCTTAATGCAAACAAAATAAACGTATTACACCAAATTTTGAAGACTATGCATTCAGGAGAGTCTCTTTGAAAACGCAACCAAATGGAATAAACTAAGGCCTCGCCTGAGATGTGACATTTTTTAAGAATTTTTATGTGATATTTTCTGAGAGCTTTTATGTGATATTTTCTGAGACCTTTTGGCCGTAGCAAAACAAGTTAGTGATATTTTCTACATACTTTAACCGTAGAAACCTAAAACTAAAAACTCGAATCAGTGAAATCAATGAAGCCTAAATGCTTGTTTCGTGTTTCATATTCTCTGGATTCTTTTTCCTCAGCACCCAAATTGAAACATAGAATAAACAAGAAAAACTGGAGTGTCAACAAGTCCTCTTTCCCAAAAAAATAAAAAGTAAAAAATAAAAAATTCCGAAGCCCAAAAACAAAGAAAGACGCACTCAAATATTAAAAAAAAAATGGTGAAGAAAATTCAGAACAGAAAGTTTTGCTAAAAATCAAGGCCGGGAAGCAGAAATCCTTGAGAACAAAAAACCTTTCAGCAAATTCAAATAAACTGAGCAGTATTTCCTAAGCTAAATACTCAACCACGATAATCCACAAAATTAAATTTGTTTTCCAACAGTTCAAATGGAAAGATATATCCACGAAAAATCCAGCTGTGTAATTGCTACGAAAACCATGCGAAATCGAGAATCAGCTAAATTAAAAAACAGGTATTCAAGATAATCCCAGATTCAGTCCAGATTCTTAGCTAGTTTCCTCATAACATAAAAAATGAAACCCAATTCCTTTTTTCAAAATGAATCATTTTTCTCCGAAACCAAACGCAGCGGAGAGAGAGAGAGAGAGAGAGAGAGAGAGAGAACCTGAACTTGAAGGATAGGATAGAAAGGGATCGACTGGGGCTCTCTCGAATAGGAGGGTCTGGGATTTGGATTTGGCGTTTTTTTCCCTCCCAAAAGTCTGAGATTATGAGCTTGCAAAAATGGTGGAACTCTTACCAAACCCCCACGAAAACAAAAAATTGATTTCGAAACCCTAAACGCTGTCGTCCCCAATTCAAATTTGGGACGCAAAATTACCGAATTACCTCATTCGACTCTACTTTTAGAGCGTCCTGCAGATGGCTCTCACCGAGGTTATTTTTGCCACGTTACAGTACTGGATTATTTTATTCTAAACGACGACGTGTTACGTGTCGTATAGAATGTTCCACAATGACAACCCAATTTGGTATTAGAGCATACGGATTCTATGATTGGAAAGTTATTTTTAAAATTACAGAATTTATCTTTTAAAATGTATAGATTTAAATTTTTACCTTTTATTCTTTATTAATATTTTTTTATTAGTGTAATTATTTGACTAGAAATGTTATTAATCAAAAATAAGGGATAGAAATCTTGACTCATATAGTTTTAAGGGGTATTATCTCTTTTCTCCCTATTTTAACTATCAACTTTTTGGTGGGTCACTCTAATTATACTCTCTATTTTAACTAAATATAGATTATTTTAATATTTTATTGAATTTAAAAAAAATTACATTTATTATAGTTAAAAGAATAAAATAATATAAAAAATGAAATGGCTAGCCTCTCCATGCTAGCTAAATTGAGCTAGTGTGAAAGACATTCTCTAAAATAACTAACTATATAGCTAATGGTTGGAGTAGAAAAAAATTATAAAAAAAAATTAAATCATTAGTAATTTTACCTTTTTAACTAGCAGGTTAGAGTTGTTCTTACTTAAAAAAAAAAAAAAAAAAAAAAAAAAAAAAAAAAAAAAAAAAAAAAAAAAAGGAAAGAAAGAAAGAGAGAGAGAAAGAAAACAAACAAACAAAAACAAAATAAAACAAGACGCCGTACAAAACAAAACAAGATATCATTAGACATTGCTTCATAAAAAATTGGGTTAATCTTGCAAATGGTCGGTCCTTAAGTTTTACTCTCTATTCTATTAATTAAATTATATTTATTTATTTTTAAGTGAAGTGGTATAAAAAATATGTTTTCTCATAGTGATATTTTTAATTTTTTTTCGCAATTTATTTTTTCTCCTAACATCTCTTAACCCTAAAAATGACTTCCTCTTCAATATAAAGAAAACTAACACAATAATAAAATTTACAACTGTGAAAATGCTTAATCAAATTTTACTCCACCCTCCGCACCTCTAAAATAACCGACCCTAAAAATTAAAATTTACGTGTTATTTAAGGCCAGAATAGTAGTCATACTCCATAACATCTAAAATAAAATGAAGGACGCGTAATGAGAATGAAAGTTTGGTCAAACCATTATCCACATATTAATCATGTCAAAATCATATTAGAGTTGATGGATATGGAATTATGACACCATCCAATCGAAATACAGAAACTTGAGAACGGCCATAAGAGGCTTTTATTAAAAAAAAATTACATTCCAACAAGCTTTAATAGCCGCTCGTTCTTATTTGAAACCAATAAACAATATTGGTTTTCTATATGGCCAAGAGACCAATGAAGAACATGACCCCAAATACGAAGCCTCAAAATGGGGCCGAGAGGGGTTCCCTAAGCTTATCTTGTTCAGTAGATTCTGAAATGTTAGTCCCAACAGTGCATGAGCATTGGCAAGGTATTTCAATCATTTTAGCCTTTTCCATGTATCCAACAACTTGATGATCTTCCTTTTCTTCTTCTTCAGTTATCTTTTTCATCTTCTTTATTGAACCAGTGGGTCTCAGTCCCTGTATTATATTGAGATTTAAGGATAAAACATTTAACTACAAAAACATCAGATAAGCTTTTAGTGCAGCCTAAAAAGCATGAAAATTAACCTCGATGAACATGACTGTGGCTTCATGTGGTTTCAACTTTTCAACAACATCCGCAGCTACTTCCTACACAAGAAAAGGAAGGAAAAAAAAAACTCAAATAATAACAACAATGTCATTATTATATAGAAAAAAAAAAAAAAGAAGAATTATGGAAGATGGTAAAACAAAGGATTCAAAAATGAAGTAAGAAAGAGAATACAAGTTTTTAAAAAAATAAAAAAATAAATAAGCAAATGAGAAAAATAAAGACGAGAGTATTATATAGTACCCTAGCATGGTTGAGTTGTCCTCCTTTTAAGGTCCTCGGCTCCAACTCAATTGAGCAACAAACGTTAGCCATCTACAACAGTACAAAGACGACTCAAATGATATAATTTTCTCACCAAATGACAAAGTTGGTAACTCTTAATGCCTGTGCCCATAACCAACTATATCAATCAATATTATTGTTATACACATGCACAGTTAAATAGCTCACTAGTCTATATACACACACACATATATATAGGCGAAAATATTGAAGCACAAATATTAGTAATGATATTTCCCATAATAGTCACGGACTCACTCACATCCATCCCGTGCTAGTGGGAATAGCGTATAAGTTTTCACGGGGGTCAATATTAGTACTTTTGTTTTCTGTGGTGGTACATGGTTTGACATATTTATGTGACTTTTAAGTCCTGGCCTTTGGTGGAGAAATGGTGTTTTCTATGATCTGTAACTTCTGATGAAACAACTGGCATTTGGGTGATCCATTCCAATATGTCTAACGACCTCCATTTTTTTCGAGCAATGTTAGTTGGTCATGATCAAGGACTGTATTGCTTTCTGGTTCCAGGTTCCTTTACCTTGTTCGGAACATGTTCAGATTAATCAAGAAAAGACATGAGTACTAGAGCAAACAACAAAATAGAGTTCGAGATGCAAAAACACATGAGATGGAGTAAATGCAAAGACAACAGACACAACGTCATGGCGTCAAAAAAAATACTATAGGCTTTTATTAGAACCAACAAAAAAAAAAAAAAAAAAAAAAAAAACCCTTTAGAGGCCATACAATCTATGACATCGTTCATCTCACCGATTCGAATTTTCAATTTTAATTTTGCTACTATTAAAAGCTCTCAAAAAAAATTACATCTAATTTTTTTTACTACAGTTAAAAACTCTCACATAAAATTACATCTCAATTCAAATTAAAAATTTAAATTATCAAACTGCCTATCTTATGGTACTCAAATAGAGCCTCCGCCACTTCCCAAAAGACTGATGGTATTGGAACCTGGGGGAGACAGCCTGACCACTAATTGCGGGTTGATAAGAGAGATGTCACTTTTACAAAATTGATATTCAAAATATATATATATATTTTTTAGAAAATCTAAATGTAATTTATACATAAAAATGATATGGGTGAATAACTGTTATAGACGTGCAAAGTTACAAGAGCTATAGAAGTAGATGACACCTTTGAAGCTTGAGAACATGAAGAAGACAACATACATATTACGAATCGAAATGACATAAAAAAAAAAAAAAACAACAATAAGGTACGACATGACGCACACGTATTAAAAATAGGATGAAAAATAATATGACAATAAAGAGGGGAAAAAAAGACATGACCATTTGGAAACGACAATAATGAAACGGCCATTTTAAACAAAAGAATGAGATGGAACACGATGCGAAACGACAATGATTATCAAAACGAGCTACTACTATAAAAATAAAAGGAAAAACGACAATTTAAATGCCTTTTGAAAACGACAATTCAAATGCCTTTTGAAAACGACAATAAAAAGTAACATAGGAACATTTTACTTTAAAACAACAAGAAACAAGAGTTGACAGTTCGAAGACAACACATGTAGAAAACGACCACCAATGCCATATAAGAATTGATTAAAACAATAACAAAAGGGGGAAAAATTCTTAGTTAATAAAGACGAGGAGCTAAAACTTACAATTAACACAGAAAACGACGAGATCTTCAAAAATAAAATAAAAATCACATGAACCTACAAAACGACATGAAAGGATAGAGTAAAACCACAAAAATGAGTTTTTTTTTCTTTTTTTAAAGGTAAAATTTCATTCAATTAAAATGTCTTATAAACATCAATAATAATGCAGATGACCCTATAGTACACAATACAAGACACTTGATAAAAACCGATTCCATCAGTAAAAGAAACTACGAATGTAATAGCAGCCAAAAAATGAGAAAAGAAACATAGAAATATAAAACGACTACAAAAGTAAAATACGACGACATGACAATAAAAAAGAAGTAAGACCAATATAAGGGGAATTGGGAAAGAGCCCCAATTTAAACAAGAAGACACGGAACAGGCGACCAATAAAAGTAAACAATAACAGGCCAACCTCAAACTACTCTGTTTGGTAGGAAGGACAGGAAGGACAGAGAGTAAGAAAAATAGAAAAGATTATAGGAATTTTTCATATTATTTGTTAGGAGTGAGTGAGAGGTGAAATGATGGATGATAGTTGTTTATTTAATTACTATATTGTTTATTTTATTTCTTTGATAATAATTTCTTTTAAAGGTAAAATAGATTTTAAATTTAAAATTAGATGGATTAGTTGAATCCTTCTATTGATGGCAAATCTAAATTGGTAGACCTAGAGGGAGACTCTCTTCCTCAATGCCTCCTCTCCCTCTTCTAATCCATCCAACTAAACAAGAAAATTGTTCTCTCCCCCCACCTCTTTCCCACTTCCTCTATCTCTCATTCCTACCAAACACACTCTAAAATAAAAAATAATAATGGAAACGACAAGTTCTGAAAACGATAACAAACAAAAACAACATAAATATGAACGGCAAGAAAAATTTAAACGACAAGCCCATTCAAAAAGGATGAGCGGAAATAGTAGAAAATAGACCAATATGATAAGCTTATGGAAGTATATATGCCAACTTTTAGTTATAAAAATTAATATGCCATAACTTGTCAAGTTATGGTTCATAACCAGATAAATTATGGACAAACTTATCAAGTTATGGTTCATAACCAGACAAGTTATGGATAAAAACTGTGAATTATGAACAATAACTTGTCAAGTTATGGTTCATAACCAGACAAGTTATAGACGAAAACAGTAATTTAGCCTATTTATTAACTTATATAAACTATTAACCTATTAATTTTAATTCATCTTAAGTCTTGATCTATTTTTCTCTTTCTCCCGAGGATGAGTAAAGAAGTAAGATGGAAATGACAACAAAATGAAAAAAAAAAAAAAAAAAAAAAAAAGCCCGAGGAGAAGAAAAAAAAAAAAAAGGAAAAAAAAAAAAAAAAAAAAAAAAAAAAAAAAAAAAAAAAAAGCCCTGTAAAGAAAATGATCGAAACGACGAGAAAAGTAACAACAACAATCAAATGCGCATTTAACATGATCAGAAATAATAACGACAACATTAAGAAAATAATAATAATAACAATAACGACAGGAGCATATGAAAACGACAATTGAAAACAAGGAAATGGCGGAAGGGGACAACCAAATAACCAATCAAAACAGGAACCCAAGCGACAACGATAGGACCAACGAATAACTGAAAACGACAATATAATGGAAATGGCAATATCGAGAAAAGCGACGGCAACGTACCAAAAAAACGATGAAACTTGAAAACACCACGAGTATTGAGAGAGGAAAAAATATGAAAACGACATTACTATATAAAAAGGCATTGACAATGACGCACACTAACTACGACAACAAAATCATTAAACGACAATCACAGAGAATAACAAGTTACACATCTAATCTAAGAACAACAAAAAAAAAAAGACAACGACGAGAACATATTAGCAAACAACAGAAGAAAACACACAAAACATTACAAACGGGGAACAAGATATTAGTCAAATGACTGGAAAAGAACAAAGAAACACTTGATAATGAAAACAACTGGAAAAAAGTATAATATATATATATATATGAGGGAAAGGAGAAAAAATCTATTTAGAGCGTATGAGTCTAGATTTTATCCTTTACTCTTAATTAATATCTTTTTAGTTAAATAATTAGATTAGTGAAAATGGTATTAATCAAGAGCATAAGTAAAAATCAAGACTCATGCACTCTTAAAGGTAAGTTTAATAATTCTCAAAAATGTAAGGCGATTAAAAAAGTCAAACTTCGGCCTTTAAGTTTAATCTAATCCTACTGGAAAATGATACAAATATCTCTTAAAGTATAGGCTGAATTTTTACTCATTATTCTTGATTAATATCATTTTAGTCCAATAATTATAATAGTTAAAAAAGTATTAATAAAAAATAAAAAATAAAAATCAAACTTATATACTCTAAAAGTAAATTCAATAATTTTCTCAATCCCATAAGCTCAATTACTGAGGAATAAGAACTACATCGTACTTTTTGTGCCTTTATGTTCCTTTGTTGAAAATTCTGAGATACATTGAATAGAAAAAGGAAAGTAAGGCGCGTTTGGACTCATTTTAAAATAATTTTATTTTTTGTATAAAAATGAAAATGAAAACGTTTTCAATCTCAGACAGAAATTATTTTTAAAAATACGTTTGGTAATTTTATTAAGATATTATTTTTAGTGTAAAAAAACTCATTAACGTCTCTCTTTCTCTGTCTATGCTCGAGAGAGGAGAAAATAAAAACAAAAAATGAAAAACAACTAAAAAGCCATTTTTCATTTCTCTCTAATTTTACACGAAACCAAAAAATCGTTTTCATTTCCTTTTTTGTCTTTATTGCGCTAAACGTCGTTTTAGAAACGTTTTTATTTTTTCTTTCTTAAAAAACGTGAAAAATAAAAACGGAATCAATTCTAAACACAGCCTAAATATTAGGCTACTCCATTTAGTTGAGGGTAGTCTACCATACCAGTTGGTAGTCATTAACTACTAGAATCTCTCCACTAGCAATCTAATTCAACATTTCATCAATATATATATATATATATATTTCTATTCAACATGGGATGGCCAAAATGTTATATACAATGCATGTGGTTGGGAACTAGACTAATTAACAAAAATGGAAATTAGTGTCGTTTACTCAAATAGCTTTGTTGTGACCAAAATAAAAAGGTATGGAAACTATAAACAAGTGGATATTGAGATCATTTGAGAGGGCAACATGTTGACCAGTTATTGCGTAGTTGTAAGATATAATTATTATTAAAAAAAAAACAAAGAGAGAGATTGAATTTGGGAAGGGACTAGGGAGAGGGCTGGGCTATGAATAAGATAACCGATGTGCCTGTATTTATATCGTCACACCATCTTATGATTTACTACGTAGAATTGAATAATCTATATGTTTTACTTACCCCTGTTGCAATTATCTTCTCTCTCTCTCTCTCTCTCTCTCTCTCTCTCTCTCTCTCTCTCTCAGTATTGAGACATTATTATCTCTTACTTGTCAGCGCAATAATCATCACTAATTAACTATTGAAAACCCACCTTAACAAACTTGATTAGCATAGATAACATATCATAGGCTTATCTTTTACCCGTTTGAGATGATTACTAATTAATTATATCTATCCATGAAAAGCTGGCAAATGCAACCTTGCTATCTGACTTTTTTTCACCCCCATTTGTGTTTGGTTTTTTCTGCCTTCCCAACTTGGTCAAATTAAATTCTTTTAGCTTAGGTGGATTGGCTAGCTGTAACCCCATAGCTAGTTAGGTTGACAAAATGCTTTCCCATGAACCATGATCAACTTCTACTTAATATATATATATATATATGTATATATACACACACACTGAGCTTGTTCATGCTAGGGATCAATAGAAATCGGATTTATTTGCTTCTTTTTTTTTTGGCCACGCACGCGCGCGCGCGCGCGCGCACACACACACACACACACACACACACATAGGAAAATTCACCCGCACAATGAGAACCTAAAGCTACTGAACCAACCAAATTATGATATCTTTTTGGTCCACGTGAAGCGAAGGTAATATCAAATGTGGTTCATGGGGAGTGTGCTCTTTTTCTTCTCTTCATATATAATATTCGTAATCCTAAAGAAGAAGATCAACCCGAAGGATGGACTTAAATTTTACATTTTGATGCTTCAGTAGAATGCTGATATAATTAAGGTCAGTTTTTCATGAAAAATGTATGGACACAAACAACAATTTATACGTATATGGCTTCCAAATATATATTTGAAGATAAGCTTGTTGGAGCCAAGTCAATATATGAAAGAAGACCCACCACCCACCTAATTAATTTTATTTTCCTGTAAGAAATTAGAGCCAACATATTTAGTTTGCTAGCTAGCTTTAGTCATTACCTACTTGCGTATAGTTACACTCCAATGTTGCCAAAACTATGTGATCAAATGCCATTTATCACTACCAAAAAAAAAAGATTGATAAAAATCTGAGTTTATTTCCAAAATTTTCAATCTTAAGGTGATCCTGAGGTTTTAATTGACTCATACCAGAAAAACTTCCAACTTTTTTTTTAACGAGAAAAGAAGGAATTAACTTATTACCATGGTTAATTGGCTGTGTTTTAAAATAAAACCACAAAATCATATGTGTATATATATATATATATATTGAGATCAAATTTCGTACTTTATTTCTCACCGTACATGTGGCAATTCGGGCTCCGAAATGTCACTAAACGAGTCACCATGACTCTCCGAGCAGGCAGAATCAATTGGTCGACTGATCAACTCCACCAGTCGATCCCATGAGTCGACAAATAGCCTTGGGCGTCACAAGAGAATATCCTCAAGGTATTCCTTATACGGGATTTGGCAACAGAATCAGCCAGAAAATGAAAGAAATCAACTACTCCAGCTAGAAGAATTAATGAGGAAAAATGTCAACGATCGACTTAGGCCGCAAGATACCCTTTCATTGGACAAAATTGATTGTCTTCCACATAAGAAAACTATATCTCCAGCAATTTGGTAACAAAGAGGCCGGATCAACTCAAAATGAGCAAAAAACCATGCAGCGCCTAAGAAGGAAAGGAATATCACGGATTGAATGTCATATTACGCAGAGAATCAAGAAACCACTCATAGAGCCTCATCAAATATAAATACAAGGCATTTGGACACAGTTCGGCATGCTTCTACAGCACACAAAAACTCTCACGCTCACTTACAGCATATTTCTCTATTATTTACTGTATTTTCTAACTTACATTTCTCTCTCTCATCCCGTTCTTCTCAGAACAATTCATTGTAAAGCTTTTCAACAGTCATAATGAAATCACCAAAGCCCTACAGTGGACGTACCATGCATTATCAAGGGAACCACTATAATTCCTTGTGTCTTTTTACTGTTTTCATTTACTTTCTCATTTATTAACGCTCTCGTTCTCGTAACGAATCAATTTCATCAATTGACGACTCCTAACTCGGCTATTGACCTTTAATTTCTCTAATTGTAGATTTTACCCACCACAATATATATATATATATATGTATATATATATATATGCATATATAAAGTAAAGGGTATACAAGGAAGGGGACAGGAACCATATCATCTTTTTAATATGTAACATGGAAAGATCCCTAGACAATAGGCAGCAGAGCCATTCTGCAATTTGGATATATTATCTAAAGCAGATGTTAGAGGGCAGGCATGCACGTCACGTAGAGCATGTGCTAGGTTTCCTCATCCACATGCAATCTCTATACTCCTAACATCACATGTCAACATATACTATACTCTTTTATATATGCCAAATATATATTACCAAAGAGTTGGTTAATTATTCATTATTGTACATTTTGTGTACTTTAGCGTACCTTTGTATTTTAGTGTGGCATATATATTAAGGAAACCTATACGTATATGGACCAGCCTTGGCATTAATGTCTAAACTTAGCAGCTAACTGTATGCCCTCTTACAGTCACATTTGATGTTCTCCTTATATGGGCCACAAAAAGTATGGCTTTTATTTTTATTTTATTTTATGCTTCACATGAAACAGTGTAATTTTCTGTTTTAGATCATGATTACTGACTTTATCATCATTTCATTATGTGTGTACTTATTTTACTAAGTATCACCACATTTTGACAATATAGCAAGTGTTTGAATAACAAAGAACAACGTATTAGTAAAATATTTAATTTTCGTTATTATTTTAAATTTCTAACTAGCTAGTTAATATGTAATTATATGTACATATCTCAAACAAGCATTAATAATTCTTGCATTTGTGTTAAGAGCTTTAAAGAAGTAAAGTTTCAGAGTGGAGTTAAAGGCGTGTATATAAACTATAAAGGCATGTACATAAACTATAAAGCAAACTCTGCCGGAGTATAAAGTTGACCATGATTACACCCTTATCACTGCCTAGAAATTAAGAAAAGTGATCATTAAGAAAAATTACCAATGTAAGACGGTGGACCCCATGGAAGGGCAAATGTCGATGATCAGGTGGACAGTTATATCAGCCCCCCCAATGTGTACCAAATTGGCTAATTTTTTCCTTAAATTTACCATCTCTCACATGACTCATTATGCAAGCTTATAAGCACTCAATTCTCCCTCTTCACATATCAATATATATAATATAATATTGAGTTTTTCTTTTCTTTTCTTTTTTTCATTTGCATTGGTTTCCTTCCATGCATATTATTTTAAGAATATATTTTCATTTTAGACGGTACGTACAAACGACGATGTTAAAGGCTTATTATAAGTGATTTAAATTCCCACTAATTTTTTCCATTATTAATTTCACTGAAATCCATGCACGCTGTAAGCTGCTGCCTAATAAGTTCTTCGTTTTTCTCTAATCCCGGCAAAATGGGGCCTTTATTTTTTATTTTTTATTTTTAAAAAAAAGTGCCCTCGAATCAACAACTACTATAAATTCCAACCACCCAACTCATATATAGCACAATTGATTTTATTTTATTTTATTTTATTTTCTGGGCGTCTTTTAGTTCAAATTTATTTTGGAGATTATTTAAAGATAAATGAATTGGCTACATATTATTAATTGATTCTTAGGAAAGGATTGTTGAAAATGCCAAAAGAATCAATTGGCAAAATGAAAAGATCAATTAAAGTAGATTAAGAGCATTTTCGTAATATTTTTTTGTTCACGTGCACCGAGGATGGACTTTCTCATGCATTCGATGAAATGAACTAATTTGATAGTCAATTTAATTTACTTTGAAACTAAAGAAAGAGCAGGACCTTATAGGCTTACGAGTGAAGAGATAATGGATTTCGAATTTCATGTGCAAATGTCAACCGTTTTGAAGAAGCAAAGGCAATTCGTGCACATGCTTCTATGGCCCATTTGGTTTCAAAAAAGGGGTGCATCATTTACTAGATATCAATCCACGTCTCCACTGCCCATAGATATTTGCCTTCCTTAACATCCTATATTAATACTCACCCGAAGAAATATGTATAGACATATATATATATATATATATGAATATAAAGAACAAAAAAAGAGGTTAAAAAAACTTAATTATCTAAACAAAAAATGGAGAAGGGCCAACAGGATTTAAAAAAAAAAAATGAAATTTCCCATGAAGATATAAAATTGGTTCTCAATTTGCCAAATTCGGCAAAAAGTAGAGGTAAAAAGTACATTACATAGCCTATCACCAAATTTCTCTCTTTTACTGCCCCTTCTGTTTTCCATCTTAATTCTACACGTTTTTTACTTAACAACCAAAATAGCAACTACAAATTCAATTTTGCTTTTCAAGACCAAAATTGGCAAAAGCTAGAGAGTCCAAGTTAAATGATTTTTTTTTTTTTTTTTTTTGAACATTTTCTTTTGCCTACTCTAGCATTCACTAGATCAAATGCCGAAAATCGGGCCCACTACGATAATGGATCAAGAAGTCATCACCGCCGTTGGATACGCCAAAAACGGAACTTTGACTAAGGAATTGATGCTGCTGTGTTTTCTGGAGCTCCTTCTGCCGTCGGAGCTCCAAAACCTTCCTATGCGAATTCGAGTGCTTAGCAGACATAAAAGTCGGGCTCGCGGCGGGCCGGTACTCGGGCACGAGCCGACCCGATTTGTAACGGACCCCACAAGCATTACAAAGCGTTTTGGGGCCCATGGGCCCAGTCCGCCACTGAGGGGTCTTCTCGGCGGCACAGTGGAAGCACTTTCGGCCTGAAGAGTCCGAGCCCGCATTGGAGTTCGAGCCCTCCTTCTTAGACGGCGTCGTTTTTACCGGCTTGGCTTCTCCACCGTCGGGGGTGACGAGATGGAGCAGGCGCGTGGTCCAGTCGCCGGGGGCAGCGCGTGAGCGCTTGCTCCGGGCCTTGCCGGGGAGGGGAGTCTCGTGCTGGAAAAACGCCGCGTTTCGCGCGGTGTCGGTGGTGACCGTTTCCGAAGACGACGACGTTTCGGGAGTGAGAGGCTTTCCGGCGGTGGCCGCCGCTGAGCTCCCCGAGAGGAACTGTAGAGGTTGGAAATCTTTTCCGGCAGAGAATGATTCGTCCACAAAGTTCGATAGCCATTCTAGCTCCGCCAAGTCGTCGTACTGCATAAGTTAAAAAGATATAAAATCAGAATTAAATTGTGTTTGTTCTTAACAAAAGCTTGAAATTTAACAGAATTAAATATTGAATTATTTTTTTGATGTTTTTTTTTTTACCGGAACACAGAGGTCGCCAGAAAACTCGGAGAAGCTGCGGTTTCCGGAGAACTGTTGTTCGCCGCCGGAAACGGAGGAGTTACAGCTTTCGACGGCGGTGACGGTGGAGTCCGTCGATTTTCCGGCGACATTGTCGAAGAAGCCGTCTGTGACCATGGCGTCGTCGTTAGAGAAGTCGAGGAGGTCGTCAATGGCGAAGTGTTCTCCGGGCTTCTGCTCCGAGTGCCTCTTCTCCGTCGCGAAGTCTCCAGCTCCGGCTCCGAAGTAACCGCCCACGAAGAACTCTGGCACTTCCATTTTAGAAAATGTATATAAAATCTTCAAAACCAGAGAGTTTCGTTGTTGTTGTTGTTGAAAGATGGGTGGTGTGTTTTAGATAGAGAGAGGTTTCTTGACGAGGAACAGCGAGAAAGATAAAGAAAGAAATGAGTTTGAAAGAGAAGAGTGGGGGCTTTTGAGGAGTGAAGAGAGGGGCTGAAATGAAATTTTCTGAAAACAGAGAGCATCTTTTTACATGCAGAGAGTGAGGATTTTAATAATGGGGAAGTGACTTGAAGTTCTGTTAGCGGACGGACGTTTGATTCACGGATTATTCAGAATTATTTATAATTTATGTGTTTTTTATATAAAAAATATATTATAATAAATTATAAATTATAATTTAAATCATCACATAATTTTTATATTAAATATTATATTTTAAACTTCTATTGCTTTCTTTTTTTCCTTTTCTTTTTTTGGTAAGTAAAGTATTTCAATTACATGCATTTTAACGTAAAATAAAAACCCCATTTATTTTTTTAATTGGCTTGAAATTTTTTCTTTTTTCTTTCTTTCTTTCTTTTTTTTTGTTATATTTCGGTCATGTTCATTTTACTGATTTAACTTTAAAATTTGAGTTTTATTACAGTAAAATACTATTAGCAACAGTCACATCTATTTTTTTATTATAATAAAAAAAATTTACATAAAATCATATCTCAACTCGAATTAGCGAAACTTTTCATTTAAATGTGTAAGCTCTTGCGTTGGCAATAGTGTCCTTGATAGTTGAGACCGCCAATTTCAATTACATGCATTTTAACTTTAGTTCCTTTTTGTGATAATTACTTGCTATCACATCATTCCATTGACTTAATTATTCATACAATTCTCCTTCTCCCAAACAAAAAAACATAAATAAAAGCTTACAATGATTATTACAAAATTAAAGGGCATTATATGGTTGAAGATCAAAATCATAAAAAGAAAGAGAGAGACTTCACAATGAAGTTGCTTTTAGACTGTAAAGGCGTATAAAGATGCAAAAAAATTTCGAAGTTAACATGGAGGAAAAAAGGGCATTGAAACCAAATTTCTATAGAAGATTGCAACGAGTCCTTTTTGTTGTTTCTTCTTTTTTCTCATGCAAATTGTTCTACACAAAACAGAAAATAGTATAAAGACGGGTTCAACCCACTGAGTTGTGGTCCACTGCCGAGTCATGTAAAGTATCAAAGAGGCAACAGCAGGCTGTACACTGTACATGAAAAAAAAAAAAAAAAAAAAAAAAAAAAAAAAAAACCCCAAAGGGGGGGTGCAACTGGGCTGTGACTGCCTTATGATCTAACACTGTACTACTTTTTCGTCAAATGAGGCGCTCAATTTGAGGCTATCAACTATGAGGGGTGAAATGGTAAAATTGTCCAGCGATTAATTGAACCAACATAATTCTTACTTAATTATCTCTAATTATAATTTATGAAAAAAAATATGGAATTAAACCCCTGTAGAATCGATCTCTTGTGGCCTGTGGGTTTTGTCGCTGTGACACCTCCTATAACGTCCAAGTTTACAGCCGGATTCCTCTGCAGCCAATAATTTTTTTCATGTTGGGAATTGTGCACCTTTTGTATTTTATTTTATTTCATTTTTCTCTAAAACGTAAATATTTTTAATTTGGATACTCAAATCATGATTAGTTGTGGTTCTACCCCCTACTGGTCTATCATAACATGTTAATGTTATTATAATCCCCAACCCACGTTTAAGCACGATGGTTACAGCTCAACTTCGTCGAAAGTAACGGTAAAGATTGCCTCCACGTGGATAGTTTGATGAGTTTTGACTTTTAATCTTACCTGCCACGTTGGATTGCTTTTGTTTTCCACTCTCTGTGGCAGGATTGTGTTAGGTTGAAAGCCTTGTCCAAGAACCAGAATAAAAAGAATTACGTTTCACAGTGAAAATTATTGCTGTAAAAAGAACAAAAAGTAATTAAGTCATTGTTAGTGTTGAAATTTTAGGCGGACCGTCTGCGACTGTCTGAAAATATTAAAAGATTGTTCTTTTAGAGTGTAATTTGAGTGTAGTTTTTGAGTTAAAGTTGTAACTTGAATAAAGTTGGAACTTAAAAGAACGTGAACTTGAATAAAGTTGTAACTTAAGTTTAAATTTTTTCTGAGTTTTGTTGCAAAAGAACAACCCCTAAGAGGTTGTTCGGACAGTCCCATTTTTGAGTTAAAATTTAAAAAAAGCAACTCGAGTTACAACTTTATTCGAGTTTATGTTCTTTAAGTTTGAACTCAAGTTTGAGACTAAAACTCAAGTTCAAGTTTCCTCTTTAACTCGAGTTCAGAAACTCGAACTCAAATTAATGAACATTATTTTTTATATTATTAAAAATGCTATAACTTTTTCGTTTTAATTCTGATTGATTTTTTTTTCTATGCGTTGACAATGAAAAGACGAATAAAATCTCACCTATATACCCTATTAAAATTTTTCATTAGCATTGAGTTTTTTATTAAAATACTATCTAAATACAAATTCAAGTTTTGACTCACTCAAACACAAACTCAAAAAGATTCTTATCTCAAACCATAACTCAAACGTACATAACCAAACACAAACTCAAGTTACAACTTTAACTCAAATTATAACTCAAACTCAACTCAAAATCTACACTCAAATCACCTAACTCAAAAACAGCAAAAGAACAAGCCCTAAGTTTTTACCCGAAGTCCGACTTGACCCGTCTGAAAATTTTAGGCTACCCGCCGAGTCTGAAAATGCCGGTGAACGGGCTGCGGGCTTCTATTGGGCTGTCTAAGCCCGGCCGGGCAGCCTGAACCCGCTTGAAATACCTGAAATTTTTTCTATATTTTTTAATCTTTATAATTATTAAGTTATTTTGTGTTAAAATTATATAAAAACTAAAATCAACATTCAACAGACATTATTAACACAATTTAATATATTAATTTTGTATATTAATTTTTAAATTCGTAATTCATGATTGCCTCGTTAAAAACCTTACCAAGAAAGACTCAATTAGGATAAAAACTTGGTAAGAAAAAAAGAGTGTAATCATTTTGTGATGAATTATAAATTTTACAAAGTTATACAATTACAATGTCAAAAGTAAATGCATATTTACAAATTACAAATTTACAATTTAATTTGAAGCTGAAGGATCATCTTCAAAATTAAATGTTAATCGATTAAATTCATCGATCCATTCTTGGCTTGCCGGTGAAATTGTATCCTGTAGACGTTGATCGGCCCGACCCCAATCCTTAATGCAGACCAAGGCTTCAACAATGTCCCTTTGCAATGCATTTTGGCATTCCTCAAGTATTCGTCATGTCATACTGAAGGCTTGTTTGGATGAAATAGTGGAGACTGCGATCGAAAATATATCCATTGCCAATCGAGTTAGGATTGGCCAAGTTAATGCTCGTGCCCTCCACCATTAAACTAAGTCAAACGATTCTCTAGTACCGTCAACTACTAAGCCTTCACTGAGGTACGTCATAAGCTCGTTGAAACTGCCGCGCCGCTACCACCTGTTGATGAAGATCCACTCCCAGCTTCTGTTTGAGTTGTCTTCTTCTAATTCGTAAAAGTTCTCCTAAAGCTAAAGGTGATGTTGGGTAATATGTTCCACTATGTTTTAGAGTCACTTCATGAAACCTACCTAAAAATTGATACAAAACTTCGGCAATTTACCAATCATATGCGTCTATATGTCCTACTCTTAATTTTGCACACATATAGTTTGTTATAGCATCCTTATAAGGGATGCATTGTTAAAGCATTATATAAGTTGAGCTCCATCTTATAAGCATATCTAACGTTAATGCTCTAGGAGGTATATTTAATGATTATAAGAACCTAAACCAATCTTCTTGTCTTTGGTTACTACCTTGAATCCATGCAAGACTATCTCTAATTTTTTTAATGTAATTACCCATTCCTTTTGAACCGGATTTAACTATTAAATTAATTACGTGACATGCACAACGTTGGTAGAAAATAATACCGTCACCAAATAAACTTAAATCATTTTCAAAGAACTCAATTGCTTTTGTATTGGCACTAGCATTATCTAATGTTATAGCCATTACTTTATCTCTAAATCTAAATTCATCAATTACATTTAAAATTGTATTATATATTAAATACGCGCTATGTGATCCTAGAACATATTTAAAACCTAATATTCAATTATCTAAATCAATTCTTTTAAAGTAATGTCCGGTTACAGCTAAATAATCTTTATTGGCAATGACAAACCAAATATCTACTGTTAGCGCAACGCACCCACTAGTCGAGTGTAAAAGGTTTATTAATGCTTCTTTTTCTTTTTTAAATAATTTTAATAAATCTTTCCTAAGAGTAGTTTTTGAAGTGAACTGTGCATTAGGATTATGTACAACCTTAATATATCGTTGTCAATTAGGATGCTCTACAAAACTAAGTGGTTGATCTAAAGCATATATCATTCACGCAACTTCCATACGATCTTTCTTGCAGATCGTATTTCCAAGTGGTTAGACCACCGGTTGCGCGATCAAAAGATAATTGTGTTTGGCGGAGTTCGGGTACGCCGGATTGGCTAGGCTTTTGAAGACACTTTTCGGAGTGTCTTCTCAAGTGTGTGGTGCCATGAATAATGTCACCTTATAATTTAGATAAACAATATTTACACTGAGCTATATGTTTAGTGTTACCTTCATTGTCGATCTCTTCAATTGTGTCGAAGTGATCCCAAACTGTCGATGTGCGCTTACATTTCCTCCTGGAGGTTGCAACACTTGCAGACGCAGTCGCACTTGCACTCACCGCTTTTCCACGCCCACCACCATTGCAACCATGATCTCCAGTACGCCTACCAGGGTTCGGATTATTAGATTTCTGCGTAATAAATTCATTAGTGGGAAATTGCCTTCTTCCACGTTGTGTTAGGCATCAACGGGAATACCACTATAACCAAAAGAATACATTATAAAAAAAAATAAGAACGATTTGAGAGAGAGCTTTAGGATAATGTGATAGTTTTTAGAAAAATTGTGACAGAGATTTGAAAGATTCAGAGAGATTCAGAGAAATTGAGAAGGATTGAGAGAGTTTAAGTGAGGAAAATGTGTGAGGGATGGGGGGTATTTATAGGAAAATTTTTGGGTTAAAAATTGATTTTTTCTCCCAATTTCATATCCAACGGCTACTTTTAGTTTCGGCGGGTTAAGTTCGGGCAGAAATTTGGGCAACGGTAAAAAAACTAGCCTTTGGAC